CATCGGCGACAATATATATATATATATGGATGGTCGACACATCGGCGACAAAATCAGATCCAGCCACTTCGATGGTCAACACGGGTTTCTTGTACATGCGGTAGAGGTAGTCGTCGAGCGCCCCGATCGCAGGTTCAAGGGGGGGGGAAGCCAGCCGCCTTTTGGTCCGTGTAGCCGCCATCGGTTGCGCCTGAGTCGTTCAAACGTTTCGTCTACGCCGCCGCCGATGCGGTCCGTCGTGTCGCCATAAGGGTACAAGATCAACCCCCCCCCCGAAGGAATGCACGTCCACTCAGCCGGCGAATTCAGACCCCTTGTCATGGAGCCAATGTGAAATCCCCCTAGTTTCCGGCTCGCTAATTTGGGCCCTACGTATAGTTGGATACACAGGCGAAGTTTTATAGACAATTTCTTGACCGCATCGAATGTTAGAGGGTAAATCAAATCTCCAAGTTGCGTGTGCAGACAGAGATCGCGTCTGGGAGTGGATGAGGAATGTTTTTGACTGGGTTTACAGTTAACATTAGTATCAATGTTTTTGACTGGGTTTACAGTTAACATTAGTATCAAGGTTTTTGACGAAAAGCAAGATATATGTAGTGCTACCGAATTTTTCCAGTCGCAATCATCCTTGAACAGAGGTAACTAGTACGTACTAATAGGTTTCAATGGATTTGACACAAATTTCAAGACACACGTATATTTTGGTTCCTGGGGTAAACTATACTGATCGGTGATTGGCTGAAATCCCTCCGTACCCGTACATTTGATTGGCTAGGACACACACTTGCCAAAACTTCCCTCGAATTGGGGTTGATTGGCTAGGACATACATTTGCCCAAAACATCCGTCAAAATGGACAGATTCGGTACTATACACTGTATATATATATATATTATTATTTCCACAGCACCAAGCACCCGTTTTTGTCGCATGACGCAAGCATGTGACCGGTGGGGCTCCACGTGCACCCGACGACGGCGCCCGTGTGCGTATCCTTATTCTCCCGCCACACGCCCGTCGTGATGGCATCCCAAATCAGCACCGATCTATCCCCATTATTATTATAAATATATAGATTTATCATGTTATATATATATATATAGCATACCCCGACGAGCTCCCGGCGGCAATAAACTGTCCGTCGGGGGTGATGGATGCCTTGCTCCAGTTGAACCCACAAGTATAAGCAGGAGATTTGTATTGCCCCAGCACGGTGTGGTGAGTTGTTGGGTCGAGCATCCGCGTGTCGACCAACTGCAGCGAGTTGTCACGCGAGTTGGTGAGAAGTTTTGTGCCGTCCTGAACAAAGAAAGATGAAGAATATATATATATATATATATATTAAGTTTGTATGATGTTCCAACGTGTATCAACTACAGATATAAAGACAAGAACGTATCGTATAATAGTATGATATGGATATCAGATATTCAATAGTTTATACATCAAAACCCATCAAATCTTGATATATTCTAATATATATATAACTACATCCAACTTTGACACGAGAGTGTGTACCTTGGAGAACGACACGGACGTGACTTGGTCCGTGTGTAAATCGGTCCATTCAAACACAGGCGCCTTGGTACGTGCATCCCAAAACCTATTTATGACCAATTTATTGATAAATATTATGATATTTCAAAGAATAAGATAAAACTAGTATTCTTCGTTCAGATCCAACAATTGCGTACCGCACGGCGCCGTCTTGATGGGCACTGGCGATAAGTCCTCCTGTGGCCACCGCCAAATCATTGCACGTGGACCTACCAATTTGCTTAATACACGGAAAATATCGCACAAAAAAAGATAGATAATATATTGCAAAAATCTGTGTTATTTGCAAATATAAATATATAAAGTGTTCAGTAATACAAGGTAGATAGAAGAGATATATACCCACCGACAACTAAACGTCTTGAGGTTGCGGCCATTGGAGACGTCCCACACCCGAATGCTGCGGTCGGCGCCGCCAGTCAGCACTTCGGGCGACCCATCCAGCATGAACTCGGCAGCATACACTTTGCCCTATATCGGCATGTACTTTTATTAAAATTCATATATTTCAAACTTTATTAATGTGACATGAATATTATGAATTGAATATATACAGGGAACCCTCAGTATATATATTTTTTCCACACACACTCCCAACCATGAAAACGATCTTGCTACTATCTGAGGTTGAGCACTACTAGTAGCAGCAACATACAATAGAGTGTATAGTGCTACTACTTGTATGCGGCCAGGCTGCTAGTACTTACTACTGCTACTCCCTAGGGTACGGTACAATAATATTCTTCTTTTTTTATACGAATTATCGTTGTCGAGACGACGATATTTCCGTTTAGAACAAAAGCACATGGCATTAAAAACTACACACATCATGAGAATTCGATTCTAGAATATTATATATATATATAAATACCCCCAATCGAACAACTCGAGTCTGTTCTTCGTCCCACCATATATATATATATACTTCGTCCCACCATATATATATATATGTCAATTTATATATATATATATCAATTTATATATATATATACTTCCTCTGTTCCAGGTTACTGCCGACATTTACTTTGAATTGACACGGACAATCGAGCCCTCACTCAATTTGGGCGAATGATACTTTGAAAGGGAATTGCATGAATTTTCGCAAAATATTGGTTTATAATCAGCGCTTAAAGCAATTGTAAGCCAATGAAATGTCATAAATGTTCGATATTGATAGAAATTGAAGAATTACAGCCAATGAAATGCAAATGTCGCCAGTAACTTGGAACACGCGAATTTTGAAATGTCGGCAGTAACCTGGAACAGAGCAAGTATCAATTTAAATATATATATCAATTTAAACATATATATATCAATTAAAATATATACATCGATTTATATATATATATATAAATCAATCTAAATACATATATCAATTTATATATATATAAGTCGATTTAAATATATATATCAATCTATATATATATATATATCAATTTAAATATATGTATGTATCAATTTAAATATATATATGGTTTTTGATATCGTATTGCCATACCTTGTGGCCGAGCAGCGTATGTGCAATGCGACCCGTGCCCACGCGCCATACTTGACAGATGCGGTCGCACCCTGTGCCTACACCAAAAAATATATTAAAATAGAATAACAATGATAATAAAAATAAAAAAGTCATATCAGCAAAATATTATTCTTCCTCTTGTCATAGATTGCAAAAATGAAGTGTAAACTGAAACATCAGAGCATTATATACCTAGCACGAGCTCGCCGTCCTCGGACACGCGGACGCAAATGAGCGGCTGGGACATGCCGAGGCCGCGGTAATCTGCTTTGGCCTGGCACGTGAACGAGTCCCACGCGCGCACGGTGCCGTCGCTGCTGGCTGTGAACGCCACCTTGCCACTGCCGCTAAAGCACACCGAGTTGACTTCGGTAGCGTGGGCTCGGATGCACTTGCCGTGTTGGAGCATGGTCACGTCCGCGGCGGAAGAGGATGACACGAGCGACGTTGGGGGATGGCGCGTATTCGTGGTGTTGTTGGACGTGTTGTCCAGCTGATGGAAAAGATGACGGGTCAGGACGAAGGGGATGGACGACGAGGATGGATAGACGGACCGAAGGATGGTTGGACGGGTCCAGCATGAGTTCCTGCATCATCATCTTGCTCTTTTCAATGAGTTGATGCTCGAGATCGCGCACACGCCGACGAAAGTCTTCTGCTTCCTGCTCGGCAAGTTCTGCCCGAAGGCGCTGCCGATTCAATTCTTCCCTGCGTCGAACGACGATGGGTCGTCAATCGACGGCATGCGAGGGGGATGTGATTGATATAGGCCACATACCGTAAGC